CCCTGAATCCAAATCTCTTCATTTATCTAAGATGAAAGGGGAGAGGCTGCTGGTAAAGGGGGGGTGGGGGGGAGGACTACAGAATGAGGCAGTGATGGTCCTGAAATGGGAGACAGGACATGGGCGCTTCTGATGGGAGCGAGGGAGGTGCGTGTGCTGACTTAGAGGAGTTCCTAGAACAGCCCCTGTGTGTGACTGTGAGGCTTCGGAGCCGTGGAGGTGGGGGCCTAGTGGGAGGGCGTTCCCACCCCACCTCCCTTCTTTCTGCCCCACATGCTTAACCCCACGCCAGCGTTCCCACAGAATGTGGTTCCCACTCAGCCGCTGGAGTTCCGCAGCAGGGACGGTGGTGATGACTTGCTAGCATCTGTGTTTTAAATAAAAGGGCCCCTTGAGAGCTGATTTGCTGGCTTTTTAAAAACTTGGGGTCTTATCGACCTCCTGGTTGTGATATTGTCCTAAAGTCGGGCAAGATGTCACCCCTGGGGGACCCTGGGTGCAGAGTCTGAGGATCTCACTGTATCATTTCCTACAACTGCATGTGTATCTACAGTTCCCTCAAAACAAAAGTTGTAAGGAGCCAGGGCCCTTTAAATGCCTCAAATTCCAAGGAGCGGCCTGTTTGCTCCCTGCCTAACACCTTGCAATATCCAGTAAACAAAAAAAATAGGATTCCAGGACCACTCAAGGCAGTAGAAAGGAATGAAATGTTGACACACGCTACAACATGGACAAACCTTGGAAACATGATGCTAAGTGAGGGGAGCCAGACACAGAAGACCACATCTTGCTTGTATGATTCCATTTGTATGAAATTTCCTGAACAGGCAAAGCCATAGAGTCAGAAAGCAAGCCAGTGGCTGCCTGCAGCCGGGACTGGCAGGGCCAGGCTGCCCGTGGCCCGGGCTTCCTCTTCGGGTAATTCCCCTTTTGTGAGTGACGCTCTACAAATAGACCGTGGTGCCGGTTGCACAACCCTGTGACTAGACGAAGCACCACTGAATGGTTCCATGTTACTGGGTGAATTGTATGGCGTGGGAATTATATCGCAACAAAGCTGTGAGGAATTTAGGGTCTTCTGACAGTTTAAAGAGAAGTAATAACAGTCCTTTGGAAATAGCTGGTGTCTTCTTGATGAAAGCACTTCTGGACACCGGTTGTCACGCCTGAATTCAGGCCGCTATCCTGGGGCAGGTTGATGGCTCTCTCATAAACCAGATTCACGGGTTTGCTGCAGACCCACAGTGACGTTTCCCATTGCTCACCCAGGTGCTTTTACTTCTTGCCGCCCTGCCTACCAGGTGGCTTCATGCCCCTGGTTTATACACTGAGTGGCCAGATTATGATGATCTCTGAACCCATAATAATCTTGCTACTCAGTGTATATCCTGTATAATAAAAGGCTAATATGCAAATTGTCCCCTCGACCAGGAGTTCGACCAGCAGGCAGGCTGGCCAACCACCCGTGTCTCCTCCCCCTGGCAGGCTGGCTGGACCCCACCCATGCACAAATTCACGCACCGGACCTCATATATATATCACACACACACATACACACACACACACACACACACACACACACACACACTGAGTGGCCAGATTATTATGCATTCAGAGATCATAGTAATCTGGCCACTCAGTGTATATGAAGAAATAGAGTTCCCAGAGATAATGTGTGCAGTAAGGGAGTGCTGCTGCAAGAATTCGAATTGAACTCGGAGCCCATTGAACCTAAGTCTGTGTTCTGTTCATTGCTGGGGGCAAGGTGGGGGGTGGGGGATATGAGGCTGGGCTAGTGAGCTTTCTTCATGTCTTAATGAGTGGGAGGAGTCAGCTGCAAGGCAGAAGCTGTGCTCGTAGGACAGATAGCCTAGAAGTCACCCGAGGGAAGGCAGTGGAGATCTATTCCCTCCGGAAGTAAGCATGACCTTCTGCCCTGTCCCTGGGCCAGCTCTTCCCAGGAGAGCTTCTACGGAAGGAGGACTGTGGGAAAACATGTGGGAGCTTTTCGTGGACACATTTCTTGAGTGTCATGAGCTCCCGGAGGGAATGTGTTTACTTCCCTGAAGCCCTCAGCTTTGTCTGTCCTGAGTTTTCATGGGCTCACAACTGTGGGAGTGTTTGTGGACATGAAGGGGAGCCACAGTATGACAGCAGGGGACCACGCTGTGTGTGTAAGTGATAATGCTGTTGTGTGCAGTGAAATGGGCACAAGTGAATAGAAGTGCAGGAGAAGTAAATGGGAAATGACCTCCCCTTAGTGATGTTCAGGTGGTCGGAGGCAGACTCGTTAGCTCCCAGGGAGCTTATTAAAAACTAGAGGCCCAATGCACAAAGATTTGTGCAAGAATGGGCCTTCCTTCCCCTGGCTGCCAGCATTGCCTTTGCTCAGGCTGGAGCGGCCTTTCCACCTTCCTATGCTGCCCAGAGGCCCGGAGCTGCTGGGGTGGTGCGGAACACCTGTGTCCCACCCCGCCCCCAGCCACTTAGCACCTGCATATGCAAATTAACCTGCCATCTTTGTTGGGTTAGTTCGCATACACACGCCTGATTGGCTGGTGGGCGTCATGAAGGTATGGTCAATTTGCATCTTTCTCTTTTATTAGTGAAAATGCAATTTCTCCAGTCCCAGTCTAGACCCACAGAACCTGAAACCCTGGGGTGATGTCCAGGGATCTGTGCTTTAATAAACTCTCAAGATAACTTTTTCATATACCCTGGAGTTTTGAGGATTTTCTTACACACTCTTGGGGTTGAACAGGAAAATCTGGATGTGTTCCCAGGAGAGCACTTCCTTCTGTTTGACCTGGTCTTGCAAGGTTAGGGGGACAGTCCTTCATTTGCTGAAAACATTTATTGAGCACTCAGGCCCTTATTGCCTGCTGTGATGGCGTGTGGAACCTGGTACAGGCAGTTCAATAGTAAATTATGGAAACGGATACAGAAATGCCTGCAAATGGGATGTGGCCCTGGGATGGTGACATTTAGTCCCACGACGAGGAGGAGATGCCTGACTAAAGATCAAGGGGAATGGATTTCCAGAGAGAATACTGCTTGCACAAAGGCCTGGAGTTTGGGAGGGGTTGGGCTGGTCAGGGGATGAAAAACAGCTGGGGTGGCCTGATGGTGGAGAGCCTGGAGCAGGTGGCAGAGAGAATGCAGGGGTGGGGGTGGGGGTGGGGGATGAGACAGGACTGAGTGCACAGGGCTTAGGGGAGTAGCTTGAATGTTTCCTCTGAAGATGGTGGCCAGCTACTGAAGGATTTAATCAGGGAATGACAGGACTGGATTAAAGGATTAGGATCCTTCTGGTGCTTAGGAAGAGTGGTTTGGAGGAGGGCTAGAGATGAAGCCAGGGGTGTGGGGTGTGACTAGGGAGATTCTGTCCAAACTGCTCACTGCCCTCCTTCCCAAGCAGGGAAACACAAGGACAGATACTGGGGTTGTTTTGTCAGGGTTTCTAGATGGAACGATTGTATTAGAAGTACACACATCCTCATTGCTTCCATTAGACAACATTGTATTACAATGCCAGCTATGTATGTACCCATTTAATTGCATATACTACTACTTATGAAAAGTAAATATTGTCAAAAGAAAATTCAGCTTAGATGCCCACATTTTTCTTTTTTTGTAATTCTTTATCGTTGAAAGTATTACCTTTGTCCCCTTTTTCCTACCATTGACCCCCTCCAACCCGCCCAGGCTGCCCACATTTTTGAGACATACAGAACCAAGCTCAGTTGATTCCAATTTAGCAGCATCTGCAAGATTTGATCCATTTCAGAAATCTGAGCTCACTAGCATTGCTTGGGCTGGCATTTTCTTAGCTGAGAACTGCTTACCTGGGTATAGAAAATGTGATAGTTTATTTAGAAGAATGATTCATTGCTTAAGGGCTCAAGAGTCCTGGGCTTCATTTTCTTGGCTGCACAAGTTTGATTTGACCTTGGACAAGTCATTTCATTTTGAAATTTAGTGTCTCTGTGTGGAAGATGGGTAATAATAGATCCTGTAAACTTCCTGTTGCCGTGTTAACTGGGTGGAAGCTCTCCAACCCCTAGGAGACACAACATATGCAAGGGCTCCATGGCAGAAGGGAGCAGGCTGATATTTTAGGAAGTGAGAGCAGCATGGGAGGGGTCGGTGCCCCCAAGGTGATGTGGTGGAGGCAGTCATGGGCTGGAGCACGCAGACCTTGTTGGGGACTTTAGTCTTTATCTGAAGAGCAAGAGGAAGCCATTGGCAGATTTAAATAAGGGAGTGAATTAAGGTTGATACGCTGTCCCAATTAATCTTCACGGCAAATGTATATGGTACGCGGTACCCCTATTTTAAACCCGCACAGGTTAAGCAGCTTACCCAAAACCTCCGGTCCGCTTGACTCCAGAGAACTCTCTCTCTCTCCATATCAGCCGAGCTCAATAATAATATAACAATGGCCACAGTTCTAAAAAACACTTTGAACTCTTCTGATGAAAGCTCTCCCTTAATTTACAAAGTGGTATTATGCTGCAGAAATACGAGTGGTGATGAGAGAGTGGATATGCCGGGGATCTTTGAAAAGGCTCTGTCTGTGTGGCCGGGGTCCAGCAACTTCAAGTTCCTTGCTGTCTGGTGGGGGGCGTCTCACAAGCAGCTATTAACACAAGGAAGGGCTTGGCAGCTCGGGCTGGCCATTTGACACTGCCATTGTCCATAATGACTCATTGTCCACGAAATGTGCCCAAGGTGTGTCCTTTCAGGGGCTTTGAGCTGGGAAATCAGATCTGGGCAGTTCATGCGTGGTTTCACTGGAGTGACCATGCCATGCCAAGTTTCTGCTTTCTCCCTCTTGGGTAGTCACCTGGTTTAAGTGGATTATTAGGAGCCGATTGTAGAGATCACCATCTCGACTTTGAAACCAAGAAGGCTTGTGCAGGGTTGAAATGGGAAAACGGCTGCTGGCCTGTGGCCCTGGAGGCTTTTGTTGATGATGACAAATCCCTGTTCTCTTCTAGTTGACCATGTCGTGCCAGAGCCTGGGACAAGCCTGCTGGCTGCCTTCGACCAGTGGAGGGAATGGGCCGACAGCAAGTCCTGCTGCGACTACTCTCTGCACGTGGACATCACCGAGTGGCACAAGGGCATCCAAGAGGAGATGGAGGCCCTGGTGAAGGATCACGGTAGGTTGTGTGGACCCAGTACCCTCAGGTCATGGGCTGGCACAGCCCTGTGGAGACAACCTCTGTACTTAATAGATCCCTTTTGGGTCTCACCCGGGGCCTGTGGGAGACAGGGCTTCGGCTGCAGCTCATGCTGATTGGAGGTGGCCACACCCAGGGCAGCCAAAGAAGCTTTCACTGATATGAGAACCTGAACCTTATTCTAGGGACCTCCTCTTATGTAACAGCTGCTTGCAGCTTATTGGTTTGAGGGAACCATGTGCCCACGCCAAGCTGGGGAGTTGAGGCTACGAGAGTAATGAGCCAGTGAGGATTCTGGGCAGACGCAGGAGAGTGCCTGGGACCTGGGGTAGAGGACTTGACCAGCGTCTTCCTGCAAACCTGGAAGAACCAGGACAGACTTGAGGATGAGGAGATTGTGGGAAAACCTAAGGGGTCTGTTGATCCATAGGACTCTTTTGGGGAGTAGGATTCCAAGGACTGGGTTCTGAAAGATTTTCAGGGAGGCTGAAGGGATCTTGACTACTTCAAAATGCCCCTGGGAGCCTGTTATCCCCAGGAAACTTGGGGTTTTGAGTGGTATAACCAAATTATATCCTCTTGCGGGGATCCCTTAAACTTGGCTATAGACCTGGGTCACGTGTAGACCTCATTGGATTTAACTGTTGGGGAAGCATCTATTGCTTTCGAGTTCAGAGATTTCTAAGCTCAGAAGTCCCATGAGTTGTGAATAAAATGGCAGGAGGGAAATTGCTAGATATAGATATCCTATCTAATAAAAGAGTAATATGCAAGTTGATCATTACTCCAATACACAAGATGGCTGCCCCCATGTGGGCACAAGATGGCCACAACAAGATGGCCAGCAGGGGAGGGTATTTGGGAGGGACTACGCCTGCAAGAGAGGGCAGTTAGGGGTGACCAGGCCAGCAGAGGAGGGAATTTGGGAGCGACCGGGTCTGTAGGGAAGGGCAGTTGGCGGGGACCAGGCCTGCAGAGGAGGGCAGTTAGGGGTGACCAGGCCTTCAGAGGAGGGCAGTTAGGGGCAATAAGGCTGACAGGGAGCAGTTAAGCGAAAATTAGGCTATCAGGGGAGTGGTTAGGGGGTTATCCGGGTGGCAGGCAGAAGCGTTTAGGAGCAATCAGGAAGGCAAGCAGGCAAGCAGTTAGGAGCAGCAGTCCTGGATTGTGAGACGGATTTCCGATTGCCCAAGTAAGATCAGGCCTAAACGGGCAGTCAGACATCCCTTGAGGGTCTCAGATTGGAGAGGGTTCAGCTGGGCTAAGGGACACATGTACGAATTTTGTGCACTGGGCCTGTAGTAGTAGATATCCAGAGATATGGTAGAAGAAGTCCAAAATGGAAATCTAGAGTTTTGGATTTATTGCTTTACTCTTCCACAAATTAGCTGTGTGACCTTGGGCAAATTCCTTAAATTTTCTGAGTCTCAATGAAAAAAAACCACCAACTCTCACAGGAGGGTATTATACTAGATATCCTACGATTCTTTCTACTCTGAAGGCCCAACAGAAAAGGAAGTAGCTTGATCTTTCTCACTTTTGAGAATGCCAAGATTTAACTTTTGATACTTAGAAATAAATCTAGTCAAACTCAACCAAGAGAGTTACCATAACAACTGTTGCCTGGCAACAGAGAAGGGCTGAGATGTCCTGAGGCTTGAACTTAGGCAGCTCACAGCACTGCCAGCAGCACCCTTGGGTTAAGCTCTAAGGCTATGAGGTTGTCATACAGTTGTTTACCATTTGGGCAGGAATATTTGTTCTCACACGAGGGAGGCGAGAACTCTAAAATTACCAGGATGAGAACTGCAACATATGCTTGTCACACTTAAAAGTCAGCATGGAGGGCAATCTGTTTACCACAGAATAGACTCATTACAGATCTTCATCAATAAGGTCTTCTATTTCATTGCCTTATTAAAGTCACAACAGTTGGGGAAAACTTTTTAACTTTTAATTGCAGTACAATACAGCATAACAAAATTTACCACCTTAATCACTGTAAGTGTACTGTTTGGTGGCATTAAGTACATTTACATTGTTGAACAACTATCCCCACCATGCTCCTCTGGAACTTTTCACCTTTCCAAACGGAAACTCTGTCCTCATTAAACAATAATTCCCATTCTCCCTCCCGCCTATCCCTTGGCAACCCCATTCTCTGCTATTCCACTTTCTGTCTCTATGAAAGTGACATGTAAGTGGAATCCTGCAGTATTTGTCTTTTTTGTGACTGGCTTATTTCACGGAGCATAATATCCTCAGGGTTGAGCCATGTTGTGGCAAGTGTCAGAATGTTACCGGAAAGGGGACCAGCCCGGACTGGGTCTGCCTCGGGCACTGGTAGTGTGTGGGTTCTTGACTTCATGCAAAAAGATTTCACAACGGGACTCCAGGTGACTGTGTATTAAATCTGGAGACAGTGAACAAGGAAAGGTTTAGAGTAGAAGAAGCAACAGGAGGGAACCTGTGTGGGGCTGCTTCGATTCCCTAAAAATGTTACAGGAAAGAAATGAGCTGGGGTGGGCTGCAGTCAGCTCACTGCAAAGTCAGAGGAAAGGGGACAGGCTCAGGGGGTTAACCCGGGATGAGCTGCTCCTGCCCATTGCTCCCCTGGTCGCAAATCTCTTGGGGACTCTTAGAGTTTAGGAGATGCACATGGGTGGGGGAGGTGGATGAGGAAGGTACTCCCAAAGGGTGGGCTGGCTCCTTTGTTTTGAGGGTTTAGGGCAGATGTTAGGGGAAGATCTCAATAGAATATTCTTCAGCTTTTCCAGGTGGTCAGGTCGTCAGGGTCGTGGCCTCCACTGATTGGCCAGTGCCAGGACATGGCTCATTCATTAGTCATTGCAGCTGGTCCTGATGTCACCCACCTGGTTTTGCTGCTTTCCTGGGCCTGGAGCTCAAGTACAACCAAGACCCAAGTGTTACCTTTAGGAAGTGACCTTCTGTATCCGCCGTGAATTGCTCGGCTGTCTGTCAGTGTCCCCACTTTACTTGCCAAGGAGTTTTCCTAGCTTCTTGCTATCCTGCTTGAGCCTGAGTGAAATGCCGCTAGATGACTGTGCAACATTATGTTTGTCCGTTCGTCTGTCCGTGCACACTTGGATTGCTTCCACTCTTTGGTGTTGGAATGCCGCTGCTGTGTGTATTTGTGTGGGTGTACACATAACAGCAACTTTTAATTTTTATGTAGTTTTAAGCTTAGAGGAAAATTGTAAGAATACTAAAAAAAAGCTTTCACACTTTATTCCCAGATCCACCAGTTGTTTATATTGTACCTCATTTGCTTTATCATTCTCTCTGCGTCTCCATCTGTCTCTCTTTCTCTCTGAATGGGGTGGGGAAGGTAGGAGAGTGGGGGGTGAGGAGGTGGAGGGTGGGGGCAAAAGTAGGTTTCTGGTTGTGAGTACAGGATACACAGAGTTAATAAGCTATTGGAATAATGTAATAACCATATCCTGAACGTCTTTTTCCATACCATCAACTGTAAACCTACTTTGTGCCTATACTGTATATAATACACATACACAAACACATAATATTTTAATGGTTTTATACCCTTCCAGATTGTTCGGATGGCCACTTAGAGACATGCATTTTGTCTGTTTTGTCTGTCCTCCAGGGGTAAATTCCTTCCTCGTGTACATGGCTTTCAAAGATCGCTTCCAGCTGACGGATTCCCAGGTAAGAGGAGTGGGCTTTTCTGAGCAGTTCCTTGGCATTTGGCACACGGGGCCAAGGCTGTTGTCTTGAGAGCGGCCTCGAGTGTATGCACATCCCTTAGCTTCAGGGACCATGGCTGGTGGGTCAAATCCTGGCTCTGACTCCACCTTTAGGGAGGATGTGAGCCAGGACTGGGGTTGTACCCGGCTCTGCAGTCAGCACGCCATCCGACAGCGTGGCTGAGGGGTGTGCGCAGAGCCTGGGGTCTCCTCTGAGCTCTTACTCTCCGTTCACATCCTGTCCGGTCACTCTGCCTCTGCTGGTGACTGGAGGGTCCGCTCTGCCACACTCGGCCAGAAGCACTGCCCTCCGGATCCGTAAAAACACCAGCTTGTAGAAGCCCCGAGGAGATGGGGGCCACTTCTGGAGCCTGTGGCCGTCGGGGACAGGGTTGTGCTGGTGAACAGGAAGCTGGAGGTCCCTGTCTCTGACTCCAACTCCCTCCCCAGATCTACGAAGTACTGAGCGTGATCCGGGACATCGGTGCCATCGCCCAAGTCCACGCAGAGAACGGCGACATCATCGCAGAGGTACGGCGCCTTCCTGCCCGTCACTGCTTTCTGCAGGAGCCGGAGGGCGGGAGGCAGGCTTGGGAAGCGATGGCTTCTGTCGCTCAGCCCCGGGAGGGAAAGCAGGGGGCCTGATGGAGCCATCTGGGTGCTGTGTGGCCTCACCTCGCGGGCCACAGGTGCTCTTGGTGCGTTCCATGGGACACACAGCCTGCTCCCTTGCCGGAGATGGGGAGTCTCTCCGTGCTGGGTGCAGCTCTCTGTGTGGGGTGGCTGTGGACCCCCACGGACAGACAGTTTACCAGCATCCCAGGGAGCAGCTGCGTGCATTTGGGAGGCTGTGACTGGCCTGTGAGGGCTCAGGCGGGACTGGGAGTCGGGCAGTGAGCCTTTCGCTTCATGGGGTCTTGGCCTGAGGGCCAGTGCGTCAGCAGCACCATTTTTACGTCTTTGAGTAACTTACTATCCAGGTCACTTGCGGTCCCACACAGAGACACACACATGCACGTGTACACACACAGCCTCTGACGGCCTGGCTTTCTTTAAACGTCACAGGAGCAGCAGCGGATCCTGGACCTGGGCATCACGGGCCCCGAGGGCCACGTACTGAGCCGTCCTGAGGAGGTGAGCACCTGCCGATGCAGTGAAGGCCCTGCAGGCCCCTGGGCTGCCAGGGCTGCACACCTTCCTGCGTGCAGAGCTGGGGCTCCTGAGGTTGTTTGGGTCATCCGAGGTCACAGGTTACCCTCCGGTGTCTGCTCAGGCAGAGTGCAGGGGGAGACGGAGTGGAGGATAAAGCACTGTGGCTTGCTAAGCCTGAACACTCCTCTCTCCGTCTCGGATTCTCAGCCCTTTCTTGGGGGACACCAACAGCTTTCCATCAGCAATCTGGGTTTCGTGGTTCAGATCTTGGGGCCTCCGGGATCTCTCTTACCAGTCACCGAGCATTAGTGACGGGGATTATCTAAAGGCATAAGAGAACTGTGTGTTTTCCCGTGGTAGGTCTGCCCAGCAGGGTTTGGCAGATCCAATTTTTGGAAGTAGGGGAGGGAAATGAGGAGCAGGGGCCCTGCTGGCACCAAGGCTGAGAACTGCGGACTTGGATGGTGAGGCTGTAAGTTACCGGGGGCGGGGGACCCACATCGTACGTGATGGAGACTCGCTTTCTCTAAAGCAGAATGTGTGCTCACTGGCTTGGCTCAGTGGATAAAGCGTCGGCCTATGGACTGAATGGTCCCAGGTTCGATTCCAGTCAAGGGCATGTACTTTGTTTGTGGCACATCCCCGGTAGGGGGTGTGCAGGAGGCAGCTGGTCGATGTTTCTCTCTCATCGATGTTTCTAGCTCTCTCTCCCTCTCCCTTCCTCTTTGTAAAAAAAATCAGTAAAGTAGAACGTGTGGCCTTTCAGCGCTTCTCAGGCGTTGGCTGAGGAGCTGCGCCCCCTGTCCCCCTGACTGCGCAGGTGGCAGGAAGGCGCTGGCCCTGAAAGCAAACACCTGACTGCGCAGGTGGCAGGAAGGCGCTGGCCCTGAAAGCAAACACCGCTCTCCCTGTTCCACGAGGCTGTTCTGTGGGCCCTGCGCTCCTTTCAATTGAGAGTCTTGGTGGGGCTTGCTTCCCCTTCTCTCTGCTGTCTGCTCTGCACCCCCAGATCCCTGCAAACTCCAAATCAGAACGCAGAGCCCGCCCTGGGCTCGCTGGATACGCCGAAGCTACCAGGGGAACACCATTCTGGTTGCCGTTTTGACCACAAAAATCAAGGCCATTGTCCCAAGAGACTTCTCTTGTAGCAGTTGCTGCTTTGAGTGTTTCGGAATCCACAGCAGTGGGTCACGAAGGCTTTTCTGGGGGCTGGCAGAACGTTCCATCATGGGGAGCTCTTGGCTCCTTGGGGCGACCTCTCATCTCCCGAGGGGCTGCTGTTGGGGACGTTCTCTTCCGCCTGCTTTTCCCAACGGCTCAGAGGCCCTGCCCTCTGCCAGGCACAGGGCTCGTGCTCCCTTAGGATAGCTGCCAGCCCGTCCCACGCCTTCTCCCTCCGCTACTGGTGGCAATTTTCAGCTTGTCGCCAACCAGGGGTCTGTTGTGTATTAAGCCCTACATGAGCGATAAAATGTGGAACCGTTCTGGGGGCCTTGAGCCTCATTCGCAGTCCAGCGGGGGCGATGCTGCCATCCCTAGGACATAGCGGTGCAGAGCCTGCGAGAACGCAGCTCTGCGACGTGCGCTGGGCTGCGCAGAGCGGTCCCCGCCTCTGCTGCTCTTCCCGAAACCCAGGGGCTGCCAGCGTGGCTGGCCGTTTGCAGCGGAGAAGATTGGAAGGGAGACGCAGGGACTGCAGAAATCTAGAAAGCACCTTTCCATCAAAGGTCCCAGCACGGAGTAGGACTGCAGCCCCATGGGAGCAGCAAGGTGGAGGAGAGCGTGACCCCTGTGAAAGGGGGGAGAAGGAAAGACTGGCTCGGAAGTGAGGGTGACGAAGAATTGTTTACTGAAAGGAACTTTCTAACGGCCTCGAGGGCTACATGGATTCTGGGGACTGAGCCATGAAGGGCATGCTGGCACCGACCTGTGTGTCCTGGGGCTGGTGTGTGTGTGTTAACCCTGTTGTGTGTGCTGACACTGTGTGTCCTGGGGCTGGTGTGTGTGTTAACCCTGCTGTGTGTACTGACACTTTGTGTTCCTATATAGTTTGCTTTTCTCTCTGGACCTTGGGATGTTGCATTTTTAAATTTCATTTTATTAATCATCACCAGAGAATATCTTCTCCATTAATTTTTGTTTTAAGAGAGAGTGGATGGAAGGGAGGAGGAGGAGAGAGAGAAACAGCAATTGGTTGCCTCTCCCATGTGCCCTGACCAGGTACATGTCCCTGACCAGGAATCAAACCCGAGACCCTCTAGTGTGCAGTTGATGCTCTAACCACTGAGTAATGCCAGCCAGGGAGGCATGCTCATTTCCAAAATCAGAAAGCAGGGCTAGTGACCCCCCACATTGTGAGAGCTCTATGGTGAGGCAAATGGTAGTTTTTATTTCTAATTCTAACACGATTTTCGTAATGTTTTAAAGCAGCAGTATTTAAAGCAGAGCTCGTGTGTGTGTGTGTGTGTGTGTGTGTGTGTGTGTGTGTGTGTGTGTGACAGAGAGAGAGAGAGAGAGAGAGGGAAAGGGAGAGAGAGAGAGAATTATGCTGCCTGTCAGGCACACACCTATACACATAGAAGGAGAAATGTGGATTTTTTTCGTGGCTCTGGGTGCAGCCTGGAGAGTTGTGTAAATGACTTTCTCTCTCCACGAGCTAATCTTGTAGTTTGGACTCTGCCCTCATTCCAGGCCTGGGCGAGGGTGGGGGAAGTGGGGTCAGACCTCTCAGCAGATGAGCGAATCCCGACAGGACCCTGGGACCCAGATTCTCCGAACGAAAGCCCATCTTCCTGGAAGCCGGTCCTCTTGGGTAGGACCGCGATAGAACTGGCACTTTTGCTCCATTTACTCCCTAATTAGGATGATTACTCATCCCAGTGCACTCGGGAAGGCTCAGTCCCCACCCATTGCTCCCTGCCCTTATGAATGGTGCCTCTGTGCACTTTCAAAGTGTCTGGGTTGGGAAAGTGAATTTCAAAGTGAATTGGGAAGTCAGTGGCACCCCTGGGAAGCGATGAGGATTCTGATGGAGTCCTTTTTACCCTGCAGACTTAAAAAAAATGCATTTTTAATGATTTCAGAGAGGAAGGGAGAGGGAGAGAGAAACATCAATGATGAAAGAGAATCATTGACCGGCTACCTCCTGCACACACACCTTTGCCCCTCCTCTCGCTAGGAATGGAGCCTGCGGGGGACCTGGGCATGTGACCAGGAATCGAACCGCGACCTCCTGGTTCATAGGTCGGCGTTCAACCACTGAGCCACACCATCTGGGCTAATCTGCAGACTTGTGAGGAGGCCACAGAGATGGAGGACGTCTGTCCTGTGTGCTGCCTGGGCCAGAGGCACTTTGGTTGTAACTGGAGCCCAGGAGAAAAAGAGAGCTGATCAGTTAGCTATTCCAGGAATTAAAAATATTTGGATGTTTAATGAGCTTTTTCAAGAGCCATTTGGTTTGCCTTCAGATTTCTAGACATCTCTCTTCACATATTTGATGCCTGAAAGGCCAAATGGGAGTGTTGTCTTAGGATATTAAATTAGATTGCCAGTTAATGCAATTATAGAACGTCAGCTCTTGGCTAAACTCCTGTGGATGACTTTAGCTCAGATGACTCAGTTAGGAGTCCAGTCATTTCTTGTGAAGAGACTCACAGCTCTTCATGGAACAGCCTCGCTTTAACCACGCACATAGGGTGAAGCAGTTTATTTGTCCAGGAAACATTTCCAAGCACTTGCTGTGTACCGGGCGTTACATTGGGAACCGCCTAGCATGGGCACTGGAGGCGTCAGAAAGCCAAGGAACACCCAGCGCCCTGCCTCACAGAGATAAAGCCACAGCCTTTCCCCAGGTCTGGGAGGGAGGAAAAGGCGTTCTGACATCGTTGTGTCACAGCTCTAGTCAAACGCATGGCTGATTCCTCCGGAGGATATCATTTGTTCTAAGTGGTCTTATCTGCGAAGGTAGTTAGCAGTCATCACCTGGGTCTTTGACTTTTCATCCATGGAAGCATCAGTTTTAAGCATCGTGTTATTATTTTTATTTATTTATTTTTTTTAATATATATTTTATTGATTTTGTACAGAGAGGAAGGGAGAGAGATAGAGAGCCAGAAACATCAATGAGAGAGAGTCATCGATCAGCTGCCTCCTGCACCCCCCCCACTGGGGACCTGCCCACAACCAAGGCACATGCCCCTGACCGGAATCGAACCCGGGACCCCTAAGTCCCCAAGCCGACGCTCCATCCATTGAGCCAAACCGGTCCCATCGTGTTATTAATTAGAGCAGCTCTTTCCCTTCTTGTGCTGGAGGTCGTACTAGCCTGTGGCTGGCCACGGCCGCTCCACACACAGAGGCATTGGGGTTTGCACAGATGCTGCCTGCACCCCCTCTTCTCCCCCCACCACCGGGGCCCTGTGAGGCTGCATTGTCCCTCGGTCGGTGCTGGCTTCCTCTGCGAGCCTCGCTCAGAAGCCCAGCACGAATGATCACTTCAGTGAGGGTCTTGGCTCAAGACCTTGCAGCCGGAATGAAGTACTAACACTAGAGCAGTATTTCTTTTTCTTTTCTTTATTTTTAATATTTTATTTATTTATTTTTATTATATTTTATTGATTTTGTACAGAGAGGAAGGGAAAGAGATAGTTAGAAACATCGATGGGAGAGAGTCATCGATCAGCTGCCTCTTGCACACCCCTTACTGGGGATATGCCCGCAACCAAGGTACATGCCCTTGACCGGAATCGAACCCGGGACCCTTCAGTCCCCAAGCCGATGCTCTATCCATTGAGCCAAACCGGTTTCGGCTAGCGCAGTATTTCTGTGCTTGGTGGTCCTCAGATGGCAGCAAGCATAAAAACCACCTTGCGCCTCACTGCCAAGGGGTGCTGGTCCTGTGGGCGTGGGCGAGGCCCGAGAATCTGCGCATCTTCCCGGCTGCTGCTGGCTTTGCAGCCTGCCAACCCCACTCAGATCCCCCACTCAGCAGGGTCGGGAAGGAATGGCTGTCACTCCACTCAAGACGGAGTGACACTGGGCAGATCCCATGTGGCGTGCCCCTCAGGGTAGAGTCTTGAGGACACGGTGGTCACCCAGGCACCGTGGCCTTTGTTTGCAGGGTGGAGGGTGCTGACGGGCTCCTGAAGTGGGGACGGGTCTCACATCCAGACGCTTCTCTGCAGGTCGAGGCCGAAGCCGTGAACCGGTCCATTACCATCGCCAACCAGACCAACTGCCCCCTGTACATCACCAAAGTGATGAGCAAGAGCGCGGCCGAGGTCATCGCCCAGGCCCGGAAAAAGGGTAGGTGCCGCCGGCTGCCCGGCTGCAGGCCGGCGTGGAGGTGAGCAGGGCTCCTTTTCCAGACCCTCATGCCAAACGGTCCGCTTTCACTGCGTTCGGCATTAACCTAATTACGGCTGAGCAAGGCGGGAGCTCCGGTTTCTCCCCTGCTCCTCCGTGCGGCCTCCAGTTTCTATTTGAAGCCAAGCGCCGCACGAGTGGGTGGGCAGGCACGCTCCCCCTGCCTCGCCCTCCTCTGGAGAGGTCGGGTTAGTTCGATGCAGTCTACATAAAGTAGGCACATACACAGGTGGCGTCAGTTTCCATCTGCAGCCGCAGCCCCCTTCTGGGCATCTTTCCATTGCAGAATGCATTTCCCCCAGTGGCTGGGGGTGCTGTCACTGGGTGAGAGCCTGTCTGGGGGTGTGGGGCGGGGGTGTTGCCCTGGTCTCCTGGTGCTCAAGTCACTCCCTGTACCCTATGCTGGTATAGTCTGGGCGGAGGCTGGGAGTCCATGGAGAAAGCTCTTGGAAACTAATTTACTAAGTGCAGCTTCCAGAGGCTGTTCCGTGGGTGCCTCATCCATTATGGATGCAGCCAAGCCCGGCGGTAACCTGCCCCTGGCAGCGAGTTTGGATTCTGGCACCGTGTGTTCCTGGCCTGAGAGGATGGCTTCCCACACGAGCCTGATCACACCCAGTGGACGCAGGTGGCTCTTGGCCTGATGTGAACATGACCATCATAAGAGGGTCCTCCCTCCCTTCCTCCCTTCCTTCCTTATTTCTTCCCACCCTCCCTCTTTCCTTCCCTCCCTCCTTCCTTCCTTCCTTCCTTCCTTCCTTCCTTCCTTCCTTCCTTCCTTCCTTCCTTCCTTCCTTCCTTCCTTCTTTTTCTTCCTTCCTTCCTCCCATCTTCCATTACGTTCCCTCCCTGTCGCCTCTCTGGATCTCTCCAATCCCATATTTCTCCATTTCTTTTATTCCTTGTTCTGTTACTCTCTCCATCTCTGTGTCTCCGTTTCTCTCTTGATTTCTGCCCTGCTTTCCCCTGGTCTCTGCTTCTCTTCTTGGCCTCTCTTTCTCATTCTCCTCTCCCTTTACCTTTCTCTCTGCGTTCCTCTTTCTCTGTCAATGAGGGCAGTCGGACTTGGAGGTCTGGTTTCTAGTTCTCTGTGGGTGGGATCTGCGTGGATAAGGAGGATAAGGATTTCCTCACTGGGTGACTTGGGGCAAGACCTAGATCACACAGCTGAGTGGCCACGGAGTCGGCTGGTCCCAAGAGAGGGCGGCTTGCAGAAGGCCCCCCCCCCCCAGGTCTCCTGAGCCTCTGTCCTCAGGCTGCAGACCAGCTGGGATGGCACTTCGTCCTCTTCCTGCAGCCTGTCCTGTCCTGGCAGCTGGAAGGAATCGCCTTTTTGAAATAAAAGTTTCACCTAAAATAACTTCGCCGGCTCAGAATGGGCAGTGAGTTGTTTCTAGGAGACGCTGTAGATGGTGACTGTGAGTGAGCTGCCCTCACCAGGCCCCGCATCACCCAGGCACCCGCCTCTAACACGCCGGGTGCATGGGAGTCAGCCTCAGCACCCAACACGTCACAACCGCTGCTTCCACGCAGCACGGGCACAGTGGGCACAGTGTCTGAGAAGGGGGAGACGGTGGGCAGCCCATTTCATTTGTTTTAATAACCATTCTGTACTCAGATGACAATAAGAAACAAAGAGTTAAACATTTAATGTGATCCCATATAATAAAGAGCTAATATGAGACGGAGGGAAGCATCAATGTGACAGGTACAGTGATTGGTTGCCTCCTGCACATGCCCTGACTTGGGCAGGGGATTGAGCCTGCAGCCAAGGTACCTGCCCTTGACCGGAATCAAACTCAAGACCCTTCCGAGGGCTGATGCTCTAACCACGGAGCAAAACTGGCTAGGGCTACCATATCCTTTTACCGGGAGATACTTCCCTCGGCTCCTTCCCCAGCAGGGTGGGGGCAGGGCAGAAAGTCACAATGGCAGATGGTCAGTGCTCCAGAGAGGTGCAGCCATGTGTGGTCAGCACAGAGGAAGGCACCGCTGTCGACAGACACGCACCGCCTGTCTCAGATACACAGCACGGGAGGACTCGCCATGTCTCTGCGGGTGGGCGCTACTGGAAAATCCTAACCCTACACCTTCTTCTCTGATTGGCCTTCCTGTGCTGGTCCTAAATCTAAAACGAGGAGTTAGGGGAAGCGAGGCTATGAGGCAAAACATAAATGAGCACTATTTTCACATGCCCGCCTGGCCCACCAGGACCGCAGTGCTCCCCGGAGGTGGCCTTGCACCTGCTCCTCCTCCTTTGGGCCGTCCAGTGGGCCGGCCAGGACCAGGCTGCCCTGAGCAATTTTTAATCTTCCAAAGCACTCAGACATGGGTCCACGTAATAGGCTCCTAGCAGGAAAGAGCCACTGAATGTGGAAGTGAGTATCGTGCTCCCCAGCTCATGCATCCTACGGGAAACCGAACCCGGGACCTGGACTCCTGCCAGCCCCCTCTCCACGGAGGGCCATTCTGGGACTGCTCCGGAGCGGCTCCCTCAGGCTGCCTCTTGTCCACGTGTGAGATCCAGTGTGGCTGCGATGCCCCCTCTGCGTGGATGGCAGTGTGGAGGCCGTGAGTGCCCGGCCTTAGCCCGCAGACAACCTTCTCCGGCCTCCTCCTTACCCATCCCCACCACCCAGATGCAGAAAGGGTCACAGCATCTGGTGATTGCTGAGGGACGTCAAACTCTGGGAACCCAAGACTTCCTTTGACCTGCGAGTCAGTAGAAATGACTCAGGCGCAATGAGAAAGAAGCATATGGTCATGGACGGAGCCGGGAGGACCACCCCAACTTGGGGATGAATCCTTAGTGTTATGCCGATCACAGCCTAGCCATCTGGAACCCAAAGAGTGGCTGGCTCAGGACTTGGCTTGTGCATGACTTGGATTGTGCCTGCCATAAAATCTGTTAGCCAGGGCTCTTCAGAGAAACAGGAGGCGGGGGAGAGAGAGAGATCGTAAGGAATCTCAGGCAGTTGTAGGCGTTGGCAAGTCTGAAATGTGCAGGCTGGCCTGGGGGCTTGGAGAGACAGGGAAGACTTGATGTTGCAGCTGGAGCCCCAAGGCCGTCTGGAGGCAAAAATTCCTTCCCAGACAGCCCTCCCTTTAGCAGCAGACACAGCCCTTGGGAATGCAGTTTGCCTTGTAACGCAGCCACTGCGGGATGGGAGTCTGTTCAGGTTCCAGCGTGTGAGGCCCGAGGCTGCTGCCGAAAAGCCTCTCCTCCGGGGCAGGCAGAACCCGGGGCCACAGCTGTGACCTTGGGCTGTGAGCTTGAATCCCGAGCTCCGCCTTTCTTTCCCCGAGTGGTCTAGTCCGTTTGACAGAAGTGTTCTAAGGTATCAACCTTCATAGAATAAGTAGCAAGCGTGTCTGTGGTGGGGATATTTTTCACATCCCTGTTGCCCTCCTTCCTACTGGAAATGAGTCATTAGTGCCTTTAAAACAAATCAGATTAGAGGGGCGATCCCACACACCCCAGACTCATTCAGGGAACGTGGATTCTCTTCCTCTGGAGCCCTCTGGGTACCCGAGTCTGACGGCATTACCCATGGGTAGGCCCGGCTGTTGGCTCCTGGCTTGGTTGGACTCAGAGAGAGACAGGCAGACAGAGACCCAGGCAATGTCTCACTGTGCTTTCGTGGTTGTGTGTTGAAATCCAGGTACCCAGTCTTCCATTGTTTCTCCTCTGGGCTTGTCCCGCTTCTTGTCCATGGGGGCGCTGTCACAGCCCAGCCTCCCGTTTACTCTGCACGAATGCTCTCAGACCCCAGCCCCTGTGAATCAGCACCCACTGCGGGCCCCGCAGTTCCGGCTGGCCTGGGGAGCCTGCCAGCTGCTGGCTCAGGGTCCCATCCTTCAGTTCAGACGGTCCCCGGAGAAGGACATCGGAAGGTCCAGCCTCCGCCAAGAAAGCCTCACAGCGTGATTAGAGGAGGGCCGATCGGCCAATGGAGCCCGTCCTGTGGTTTATTCTGATTAGCGGTGATAGTTTCTGGCACGCAGCTCAGTGGTGTCTGTGGCCTGACAGGCTGAGAAGCTCCTGCGTGGCTCACCCGGGTACAGGGCATCAAACGGAGCGTGCCCTGGGGCTAGGAGCAGCCCCCTGCCCCCAGCGGTGGCCCACACGCCCCTGGGGTGGGGGTCTCCCACAGGATGGGTTAACTCCTGCCCTGCCCTTAGGGGCTGAAGAAAAGGAATCACCCACAAGACCGCAGCACCTTAGGATCCCTTGGAATCTGAACAGGAAGGACAAAGCAGAAATGAACCTCAAGCTGCCTTTCTCCGTCTCCAAGTGCCCCTGTCTCGGCTTGGCCCGGCCCAGGAGTCCTGGCTCGGCCTGGGCCTCGGGCAGGGCTACTCAGCAGGGACCTTGGAGCTCTGACCCGCTCTGGGTTTTCCGGAGGTGGAAGGCTGAGCTCATTCCTTCGTGGTGAGAGCATGTTCTGTGCACCAGCCTTGCACCGCCAGCAGTTGTACGTCACAGACCGAGATGAGGGCCGTAGTCAAGGGCACGCACGTGAGGGGGAGTCAGGATGCAATCGGGAGCCAACCCCTCCTTGCACTTGGGTTTCCAAAGCAGGCTGCAGGGCAGATTCAGGCCGAGGGTGAGCAGGAGCAAGTTAAGGGAAAGTCAGGGAACTTTATGGTGGTCCAGGATTTTTTTTCTCCAAGTGGTTCTGCTCTCTGGAACTTTTTTAATGTCAATAGAATCTGAGCACTTTAGGGTTAAGAGTCACTTGTTTTCCTGCTGCCTGTGCCAGCCTCAGCCTTGGGCTCTGGCAACAACCAGCAGGGCTCCAGGCCTGGCTGTGTGGAGGATCCTGAGCAGAGGTGCTGTTCAGCCATTTGCATCTCATAAATGGACTTGGTGGCAGCCAGGGTCTTCGTGGTGTGCAGAGTTTTTCTATTTGGAATGAGCCGGAGCTGTTTACATCCAGCTGGCTCCTCAGACTGAATTCTGTCCAGAAGGCCCGGAACCCAGGAGACCTGCCAGGGGATTCTGAGCATGGGCTCCGGGGACTGGCTTCTGGGTGCGGCTTCCCTGAGTGTGGAGCCCTCCCTCCTGCTGCAGGGTTGTTACCGATTTCCCCCAGAGAGCTGTCCGCCCGCCCGCCTGCGGTGGCCTCTGACACCGCTGGCTGAACAGGGACTCCTTTATGAAATTCCTGAGGCTGGAGGGGACAGCTGGGAGGAGCCAGCTCAGAGTGGCCGCTGCAGCTTAGAGGGCCTGTGGTGTAATTATCAGGAGATAAGGCCTTGGAAAGGCTGTGGGGAGGAAAGGAGACACATTCCTGACCGAGAAGTGTTTGGCCCCCGAGGACCCTGTGTTTGGAGAATGGGGAAGGGCTGGAAGGACCGCTGGGGGGCGGGGTAGCCCTGTGGTAAGAGGAGGTGAGGAGAGAGGGTTCCTGGAGTGGTAGGTTGGCCTGGCATCATATTTCAGCTCCGGTGCCTTTCATTAATAAAAGAATACCGTAACACTCACTTACTGAGTGCCTCCCTGTGCGGGCAGTGTTCTTTAGGATATCTCCATTTAGTGGAGAATCTAAAAATTCGGAACGGGGTGGTTATTGGAGTATTGGCGCGGAAAACGGGATGGCGTTTTGGATGATGGGGATGCGGAGACCGGCTTTGTTAGGCCTCCGGACAGTGGCGTGCAGCAGATGTGACAGCAATGTTTTTGTCCTTGAAGGCCAGTGCTCCTCGGGAGGACTTCCTGAAGGGTGTGGCCTGGGAAGACGGTCTGAGGGAGATCACTCTGGGAGTGCCATGGAGAATGGATGGAGAGCTGGGGGAGAAGGTTAGGAAAGCAAAAGTAAACCTAAACTCTGACCCGGAGGCTCTGCTGGAATGAGCTGGGGGGAAATGAGCTAAGGCAGTGGTTAGCAAACTGCGGCTCGAGAGCCACATGCAGCTCTATGGCTCCTTGAGTGTGGCTCTTCCACAAAATACCATGGCCTGGGTGAGTCTATGTTGAAGAAATGGCGTTAGAAGAAGTTTAAGTTTAAAAAATTTGGCTCTCAAAAGAAATTTCAATCCTTGTACTGTTGGTATTTGGCTCTGTTGACTAATGAGTTTGCCGACCACTGAGCTAAGGGATGGGACAGACAGTGGAGGCAAGGATGGGTTTCAGCCATTGAAGTTGGCATTCGATGATGTAAATCAGTGTTTCCCAAACTTTTGGCATATGTATACCCCTTCTATAATTTTCGTAACGCTGAGTACCCCTCGTACTCATGAGAACGTAGAATTAGGCGCAGCTAAGCACGGTGCAGTGCATATCCCCACCAAACTTCCCGTACCCCTGGGGGTACGCATACCACACTTTGGGAAACACTGATGTAAATGATTCCCACCTGTCTGGCTGGTACATGAATGGACAGAGAAGGACATGATTTGGGCATCAGGGCACAGACAGTCTTTATAATGTATTCATTAAGCTAGACTAGGCTTCTGGAAGCTCAGAAATCACAGTATGTACTGCAAAGCCCTTTGTTTCTCTTGCAAAGCCAGCTGTGACTCGGGGTGCTAACGGCAATTCCCTTCAGGTGGTGACTCACTGAGCCACTCCGTCTCTTGGGCAGATCTGTGTTTGCTCTCAAATGCTTCAGCCCTTTGGTATAACATCTAATCCCCTCTCTCAGCTCTTTAGCCAGAACTAGGCACCGTGAGGGGGCTGGGAAGTGTTGGGAGAGTAGGGGGAGTATTAGGTGAGCAATAAGGTTAAGTTTGAGGTGCCATGGATCACCCAAAAGTATGAGTCTAGACAGCACTTGGGACGGGATGCTTGAATGCAGTCTGAGAGTGTTAATGATTTGGAATGAGCAGTGTAGGAGGTGGAATGTTTGGGATCATCTATGGAGTGTGTTGAGTTAGAAGAGCAAGGTCCCCCTAGCTGGTTTGGTTCAGTGGATAGAGGGTCAGCCTGCGGACTGAAGGGTCCCAGGTTCAATTCCCATCAAGGGCACATAACCAAGTTGTGGGCTTGATTCCCAGTAGGGGGTGTGCAGAAGCAGCCGATTAATGATTCTCTTTTATCATTGATGTTTCTCTCTCCCCCTTCCTCTCTGAAATCAATAAAAATATATATTAAAAAAAAAAATAAGAGCAAGGTCCCAAGGTGAACATGTGGAGTTGGTGACTGGTGGGTGAGGTATTTGGCCTCAGGTATCCGTGTCCTCACCTGCGAGATGCGGCTGGCACCTTCTCTGAATGGATGGTGAGGGTCCCTCACATGCTGCGGGGCAGTTGGCTCCTCCCAAGAAGGCTGGTTTTCTTTCTCCCTCATGGCCTGGTCCTCAGCTTTGTCTCTTCGCCAGGAACCGTGGTGTACGGCGAGCCCGTCACTGCCAGCCTGGGAACTGATGGCTCCCATTACTGGAGCAAGAACTGGGCCAAGGCCGCTGCTTTTGTCACCTCCCCGCCCCTGAGCCCTGACCCGACCACTCCGGACTTCCTCAACTCCTTGCTGTCCTGGTGAGTCTTGGCGACTTGTTCACACTTTTCATCCTCAGTCTTCGCTCAGACCAACCGGTCCTGGTGGCTTACAACATGGTGGGCAGAAGCAGGCTTGCAGACAGACCCGTGTTGTGTTCTCCAAACTCAGTTGGCTAAATGGGAACAGGGGATTGCCACTTTGACACCATTCTGGGGAGGGCAATCTATACTAATAAAGAGGGTAGGGAGAAGGACTTGTATACATGCATATAAGTACAACCAATGGACACAAAACTCTGAGGAGGGAGGGCATGTATGGGAGGGGCAATGGTATATGTACACAGATAATAATTTAATTTAAAAAAGTTAAAAAAAAAAGAGTTAATATGCTAATGGTTGGGATGCTGTAATGGGTAACAACCAGGTCATTAGCATATTAGCTGGGGCATTGCTCTGGAGACAGGGTGAAAGTGGGGAGGCATCCATAGAAGGCAGGACCAGCACGAGGCAACTCTAGGGACTGAGGTTGGGGCTTGAAGGGGCCAGAAAAGGCTAGAGGGTTTGGGGGCTGGTCCAGGAGCTCTGCGTGGACAGGTTCGAGGGTCAAGGGAGATGAGTGAGTGGCGCTGCGTGAATTCACACACTGGGCTTCTAGTTTAAAATAAAAATGTTGGCCCACCGACAGGGATGAATGCAAAATCCAAAGGACTCCACTGTGGTGTGATGACACCCTATAAGATGTCTTACAAATAGTTGCCCAAGAGTAGTTATAAGCTAGTCACCCGTTTCCCTTCCAGTGGAGATCTCCAGGTCACCGGCAGTGCCCACTGCACTTTCAACACTGCCCAGAAGGCGGTCGGAAAGGACAACTTCACCCTGATCCCCGAAGGCACCAATGGCACTGAGGAGCGGATGTCTGTCGTCTGGGATAAGGCTGTGGTAAGAAGCCGTGGTCTCCCTCCCGGGCTGGCTCAGCTTTCCCCGGCCTCCTCATTGGAGGGCCATGGGTCTCATGTCAGCCTTGCAATGGCAGTTGAGAAAATTCTAGAAGCTGGGACTTGTATGACAATACTTCTTAGGTTTGGGAATCCAAGATTTCTCCTTATATAGATCATTTCCTTCTAAATATTTCATATATGTTTTTGATTATTAACCTCTGTGATCCGTGGAGACTAAAAAAACAATACCCCACAGTCTTTAAAATGTGACTCTTTTGTGATTAGTCAGGAAAAAGCTTCCTTAGGGCTGGTGATGTTCTCCATTAACCTTCGATTCTTGGAAATGGACTCCATGTCCTTAAACGTGTTTCTTAGGGCTTTTTGGGCTCAGCATCTCTACCCACGATGACCACAGGCTTGTGGCGGGCCTGCTTTGAGCAGACTCTGACCTTGAAGGGTCTTGGGACTTTTTGCATTTTCAGTGCTTTAAAACAGCACAGGTGTTGTTTCCTAATGAATTTTTTAAATTATGCAAACAATATATCCCTGTTTCAGAAAGAATGGAAGTGAATAAAAACTACTCATGACACCATCTTTCAGATTTAATGACATTTGATATGTTGGCCATATGTCTTTCCATTTTTTTGTCAGTGCAAGAGTACACGTGTGTGTATGATGTGTGTGTGTGTGTGTGTGTGTGTGTGTGTGTGTGTGTGTAAACACCATGGCCTGTTTTATTAAGATAATATCTCATGAAAAGGTCTCCACATTCTGAAATATACCTGAAAAACTTGTTTTTTCCCCCCTCTATGTTCTTTGAACATTTATGTTGTTTCTGATTTTTTTTTAATGCAGGAAGAGTTGTTTATTTCTGTTTTGTCAGTAATTTGGTGGTAACTGCATAAGTAGTCTTAAGTGATTTTTAATTGCGTGTTTTTAAGTTGAGAAATTGGGTATGCACTTTAAGTGGAAATAATTTTCTGCTGTGACTGAGAAGTTACACCTGCAGTGAAATTTTATTTTTCTCATGCAGTATCCAAAGAATTGAGCTATGAAAGCCTCAGAGCACTTTTAAAAAAATAGGTTTTTATTGAATTTTTTAGAGAGAAAGGAAGGGAGAAGGATAAGAGAGAGAGAAGCATCCATGAAAGAGAAACATCCATCAGCTGCCTCCTACATGCCCCCTGCTGGGGATTGAGCCTCCAACCTGGGGATGTTCCTTGACTGGGAATTGAACCAGCGATCTCTTGGTTGTGGGTCAATGCTCAACCACTGAGCCACACCGGCCGGGCTGTCATGCACTTTTATGTCTTACCATCACCGAACAATATTTTCCTTATTGGTGATACATGCGAACAGTGAAGTCAAGTTGTACAGTTGCATCTGGGTATGTCATTGAATTGTACCTTAACAGATAACCGCCTCCCGCCCTACTGAAGAAATGGCAGCCTCTCGGGCCCATCAGGCGGTCCACTGGACTGGGCCAGTGCTCAGCTTCCCATAGGGAATCTGGTTTTGTTACTGGGATGAATATCGCTGGACGTATCTTTTATTATGCTTCTGGGAGTGGTATTGCTGGGTCAAAGGATGTGTATATTTGTTGGGCTTTTGGCTATATATATAGCCAAAGTTACCTCCAGGAAGACTGCATCCATTTATATGCGGCCAGCATTGTGTGACATCCTCCAGTATCTTCTTCCTGGTCCTCATTGGTGTTATCATAAAAAATTTCCAAAATGTGGCTGATTTGATGGGTGAATTTTGTCTTTCATTCAATCCTGTCAGTTACTAATTGGAGTGAATATGTTTTCATAAGCTTATGGACCATTGTCATTTTTCTCTAAATACCAACTCATTTCCTTTGCTCAGCTTTAGGGTAGTTTTCTATACAGCCTCAAATTCTGGTTTTGAAAGGACAGAGAGCACACGTGGTAGAGATGAGAAAGTGCAGGAAGGACATGAGGAAAGGTCATTGGCTATAGAAACACAGATGTGGGGCTGAGACCTCTAGACTGGCCAGACCAGAGGCCTAAGTCTGCGCTGTACAGCCACTCCAGTCTAATGATGTTTCCTCAAGAGGCGTTACAGTCCTGTCAACTTTTTTTTTTTAAACTTTTCATTTTGAAATAATTATATTCCGAGGAAGTTGCAAAGAGAAGACAGAGAGGGCCTGTGTACCCTCCTCCCATTTCCCCCCATAGCTGCATCTCACATAATTAGAGTTAGATATCAAGCCCAGAGATCAAAGATGGTGCCGTGTGTGTGTGTGTGTGTGTGTGTGTGTGTGTGTGTGTGTGATTTTGTCCTGTGGGGATTCATGTAACCATCACTGCCAACAAGGTACAGATGTCCCGTCACCACAGAGAGCCTCTTCATGCTGCCCCTGTGCAGTCACACTCATCCCTATCCCCTGCCACACCTATTCTGTTCTCCATTCCTGTAACTTTGTTATTGCAAGAATGTTTATACAAATGAAATCATACTATATGTGACCTTTTGAGATTGGTTGTTTCACTCGGCATAATGCCCTTAACATCCAAGTTGTCGTATGTATCAAAGGTGTGTTCACTTTTATTGCTGAGCCGCAGTCCACCCTTCAACCTCTTGACCTGCTTTTGGTGTGTGTGTGTGTGTGTGTGTGTGGTGTTCTACTCTGCAGGTCACTGGGAAGATGGATGAGAACCAGTTTGTGGCTGTGACCAGCACCAACGCAGCCAAAGTGTTCAACCTTTACCCCCGGAAAGGCCGCATTGCTGTGGGCTCCGATGCTGACCTGGTCATCTGGGACCCCGACAGCGTTAAAACCATCTCTGCTAAGACCCACAACAGCGTAAGTCCTGTTCACTGCGCACTCCCAATCCATACAGATCACAGTCTCAGAGACGGAGGCGTGGAGAGTCCCAGAATTGAGGGAGAGAACTCACTGTGAGGGGAATGAACTTTGCCTGGGATATATTATAATTTGCATTTTGTTGATAAATATTTTTTTTTCTTTAGTTAGGTAAAAAAGACTGACGGTTAGTTACTCTTTTCATTCTGGAGTACCACAGCCTCTCTTGCAGATAGTCTCTGCTGACAGACCTTCAGAGCCTCCAATGCAGGACACTGGAGCTTCTAGGAGTCAGACACCAATCCATTTTTATACTTCGGTGCAGTACCTCCCATGGCAGCCCGTGGTGCAGGGGGTCTAAATAAATACTCCTGAGGTGCCCGCTGGGCATGTCTATTCTTTTAAGCCATTGTTTTCTCACGTCAATGCTGCCCTATAGAAACAAATTACAAAGGCTCCTATTATCTCAAGGAGCTAATTGACTTTGACTTCTTTCCAAATAGAAGAGATACTCCCTGCAGCCATTCTCATGTGATTTTAGGATCTGGAGCTTGGGATGTCACTTGTTTAATTTTTAAAATTCATTTATTGATGAGAGAGAAAGAGAGAAAGAGAGAGAGAGAGAGTGTTTTTATGCATTCATTTGTTGATTCTTGTATGTGCCCTGACTGGGGATTGAATCTGCAATCTTGCATATTAGGACAATACTCTAACCACAATTGTCCAGCTACCCTGCCGAGGTAGTCTTGTCTCTTAGTCCAGACTGCAGAATTTGGGGATGCCCTGTCTTGTTACTGGGACCTTGGGCAAGTAACTCATGTCACATCTCAAGCTCCTCAGTTGGGAGTGCGGGATTTAGATCAGGTCTCTGGATGTCCGGTGAGTCAGTGAAGCCCTAGGTAGAGATGTTAAATATCACTGGCTCTTTATAGAAAAAAATCACGTGTGACTGTGTATGTAGAGATATATCGATGTGCCTGTATAAATACGCTATTGAAAGAATATGGGCAAAGGGAGCTTTGGGAAATAAATCGACCCAGGCCAGAAGTGTTTTGTCGGAAACTCATGAATCTGGAAGTGAATTAAAGTTCCGAATTGAAAGCTGACTCAATAGGGAATCTGATTCTGGACGGCCCACCCCCACTAGCCTGGGCCAGCAGGTACTGACTCCTTTCCCAGTACCACCATAGCTCAGGGGCTGGCTCCTGGCATTTCTCCAGAAGGGCTGGACAGCCCTTTGCTGTGCCCCGGTCCTCTCCCACTTGAGCAGGGGGGTTTGAGGTGTGGAGCTCACCTCTAGCCTCTCCTGGCACCTGTGGGTGCTGGGACGGTGGGTGCCTTCCGGGAAGGCTGCTCTGCCCTTGGTATCTATTTATAGTTGACTTCCGTCCTCCTTTCTCACCGGTTGGCTTAGCTTTGCAGCATAGCCTTACGGCCACACCGACTTGTAACCTAATCACAACCTCTCGGGGTCCAGGGTGGCTTCTTTACAGGTAGCGGATCCTGCCCAGTGAACCCCTTATTCCTATGCAGTTAACATCATATTCCTTCCCAGTTTCTCTTTCATTTGGCCTTTCCAATAAAGGGATGGTGTTATTATCCCGATTGGGAAGATAAATAAACGGAGGCTCAGAGAGCTTCAGTCTAACGTTACATAGCTATTTTGCGGTAGAGCCAGAATTAGAACCCAAAATTGTCCAGCGCGCTTCTCTGCCAGACTGCATATGCCGCCTCTGGGTCGGGGTTCAGTGGAGACGATGCTTCCCCTCCCTGCCGCCCTTCCCCAGAGGTGCTTCCTGTGAGGGCGGAGCGGGACTCATTCTGTAAACTGCAGACGACCTTGCTGGGAGCTTGCATGTGGCGCCCTTAACCTGGGTGAAGGAGCGATGATTCGAGAAGACAGGCTCTCCCTCCAGGCCTTCCATCCAAACCTTTCGAGGGCAACAGCACTGCCCTCCCTCTACCGCCAGGCAATCTCATCTAGGACATGCTGACTTCCAAAAGTGTCTCCTTTTCATCCTCGCTTGTTTTATTTTATTTTTTTTTTACTTTTATTTTTTTAAAATATATTTTATTGATTTTTGTACAGAGGAAGGGAAAGAGATAGAAACATCGATGAGATAGAGTCATCGATCAGATAGAGTCATCGATCAGCTGCCTCTTGCACACCCCCTACTGGGGATATGCCCGCAACCAAGGTACATGCCCTTGACCGGAATCGAAGGTACATGCCCTTGACCCTTCAGTCTCCAAGCCGTCGCTCTATCCATTGAGCCAAACCAGTCTCGGCCATCCTCGCTTGTTTTAAAGAGCCCGCCCTACACACGCCTGTACAGCAGTCATCATTTGGGAGAATACAGACAGGAGGCTGCCCCATGTAACAGCGTTGCCTGCCACAGTGCCGATTGGCTTTAATTTGGAGCTTTAAGAGAACTGTTATTGACAGCCTGGTGCTACGCCTCTGCTTGGATCTCCCAGGCATCCAGCCAGATGAGTAATTTAGGGGCCCAGGTGGATGTAGGTGAAGCACCTCTACACTGGGGCCCTAGCTGGTTTGGCTCAGCGGATAGAGCATCTGCCTGTGAACTGAAGGGTCCCAGGTTCAATTCCGATCAAAGGCACATGCCCAGGTTGAGGGCCTGATCCCCAGTAGGGGACATGCAGGAGGCAGCCGATCAATGATTCATCGTTGATGTGTCTCTCTCTCCTTCTCCCTTCCTCCCTGAAATCAATAAAAATACATAAAAAACAAAACAAAAACAAAAAACACATCTACTACCCTGGGGAGTGATTAAGCTGGACCGCCTCATGGTGTGACAGCGGGTGGGCTCTGAACTCCCTGTGATCTGACTACTGACCTGTTGATTTTAAGTCACTTAGAGACATGGGGCTGGTTCCTCCACCGTTTTTGGAATGGGAGATGGCCCAGAGCTCTTGTGGGGGTCATGCTCAGTCCCTCACATGCAGTTAAACTCAATACATGTGTCTTCCGATCTCTTTGACACTAAAGGGCCTGCAGTCTTGTTGGGACAGTGCAGTGAGAAACCAGCAGTGAATGAGGGAGTGTATCTTACACGCCTGCTTTGTGTCAAGTAGCATGCGAGCTACTCTGGTTTTTCTATGTCTCGTGATCCTAGCACCATTCCTGCGAAGTGGGCCTTTTGTAGACGAGGAAGCTGTGGCTCAGAAGAGAGTAAGTAAGGGACTTGTCCAAAGTCACACAGTGGCAAATAGCGGCCCAGGATGTGAACCCAAGGCAGATGGCACCGGCTCCAAGGTTGTCTCCCTTCCTCCAGTAGGGCGCAGGGGAGTCTGTGAGAATATAGACCGTTAGCTGTGGCGGAACATGACAGAGATGGAGGCTGAGCCAGCCCTTAAAGGATGACCCTTCCCAAGGTCATTTCAGAGCTGAGAGAATTCTCTCAGGGACCTGCACACACACAATGCTTTTTGTGTTGCGATCGTCACCAAGTCTTGGAAGGTGGCAGGGCTGAAGTGAGCTGCCTGCATCTCACCACATCTGAATGCCATCCATGCCCAGATGTTCCCTCAGTTTATGTACCACCAGCAGGGCACATCACAGTCAAGGTGAGGCAGACGCTATGAAAATGCGCTGTGCCACCGAGGACTAGCCTGTGCTCAGCGTAGGGTATGTGAGAGGGGAATCTGCTACGCAGGATGTGAGGGCAAAAGTCTGTGAGCCTTGACTTTGGCTGTGGATATAGAGGACAAAATGCCTCCTCGGAGACTATGACCTGAAAGCCGGAACTCATGCAAGTAGGAGGTCTGAGTTCCTGCTGCCTGTAGGGGCCAGAGGAGCCTGAAGCTGGGAATTTAATATCCAATGGCTTCCGTGTGGTCATCCAATAGGCCAGAGGGAAAAGCAAGCCCAGGTCCTCCTGGGCACTCTCGGCTCAGTCTCCACTGACAGCAACAGACTGTGCAGGTCCACCTGCTGCAAGACACATTCTGACTTCAGGGACGAGTGATTTAGAATCGATGAAAGACGTGGGGACACACTTGGTCCCTCCTCCCAGGTGCTCTCTGCCTCGTTCCTCCCATTGTTTCCACATGAGTCCTAGGATCCTCAGAGTAGTACTGACTCTCTCATTGCTGTTCTCAGTCAGCACTGCTGCATTAAAAAAAAATGATTTTATTGATTTCAGAGAGAAAGGAGAGGGAGAGAGTGAAACATCACTGATGAGAGAGACTCATGGATCAGCTGTCTCCCACATGCCCCCTACTAGGGATTGAGCCAACAACCTGGGCATGTGTCCTGGCTGGGAATTGATCTGTAACCTCCTGGTTCACGAGTCAATGCTCAACCACTGAGCCACACTGGCCAGGCCAGCATCACTGCATTTTGACACCGAATGTGAGCTAAGGAGCCAGCCGGGGCTTCTCCATGCTCATCAGCAGAGGTGCTGACCTGCAGCGGACAGCTCATTCCCAGGCTAACTCCTTCAGTGCTGATAGCCTGGCCTGAATTCTCCCAGGAGCCCAAGCGGCTTTGTATGGTTGGAGCTGCCTATGTATGCGCCATTCCTAGGCTCAGCGCAGGCATTGGTGCCTGTGACAGGGCAGGCAGGCAGGAGGGAGCAGGAGGCCTCCGGGAGTCGGGACGGCCCTGGGTGAGCTGAAGCTGCGGGATGAAACTGACAGTGGAGTTTTTGTGGGGAGCACAGTGCCCCTGGTTTCTGTTGCCTTGCTTCCAGCATGTTTTTCAAGAGGGCGCACAGATATGCCAGGGGAGTCTGTGAGAATATACACTGAGTGGCCAGATTATGATGATCTCTGAACGCATAATAATCTGGCCACTCAGTGTATATCCTATATAATAAAAGGCTAATATGCAAATTGTCCCCTCGACCAGGAGTTTGACCAGCTGGCCAACCGCCCATGTCCCCTCCCACCCTGGCCAGGCTGGCTGGACCCCACCCATGCACGAATTCATGCACCAGGCCTCTAATACACACACACACACACACACACACACACACACACACACACACACACTGGGTGGCCAGATTATTATGCATTCAGAGATCATAGTAATCTGGCCACTCAGTGTAGACCGTGGAGTAACCTGACAGAGATGGATCTTGAGCCAGTCCTGAAAGGATGACACCCTTCCCAAGGTCATCCTGAAAAGCTTAAAACTCAGTGCTAGCTGCATGTTTGGGAAATGAACTAAACCTCAAACATGTTATGAAGACAAGCCCCTTAAATTACCCCAGTCCTGTCATTTGGGGACTGCAGCTTAACCACATCGCTAGCAGTATGGAGAACCAGGCTCCCCAGCGGGAAACCCTAGCCCAGGATGGCCACTCCAAGGTTAAATTTAGAACTCAGTCACGGAAGGCTTCTGCTTTCAACCTGATTGGAGCTTCAGTTAGTGAGAACAACGTCGCTGCTAATGCGTGGAATCCTTCTCTTCCGTTTTGTAGCGTGTGCAAGTCCTCCTGCTTTTCCGTTGGGAAGAGATGTGTTAGACAGAGAGACTAAGACTTGGAGATTAACGCCTGTTGGTGTGGTCCGTGGGGCAGGGACTCCGGCTCGGGGTCTTTCCTTTGTCCGTGCGATGTGGGGCTGTGGGTGCTGCCCACCGGGTGCGATCCAGCCAGGGTGGCAGGGCGTATCCAAGCGTCCTGTGCCCTCTCCCTGCAGGCTCTCGAGTACAACATCTTCGAGGGCATGGAGTGCCGCGGCTCTCCGCTGGTGGTCATCAGCCAGGGGAAGATCGTCCTGGAAGACGGCACCCTTCATGTCACCGAGGGCTCCGGGCGCTACGTCCCCCGAAAGCCCTTCCCCGATTTCGTTTACAAACGCATCAAGGCAAGGAGCCGGGTGAGTAGCTCGGAGCATAGGATTGTTTTTTAATGTCATAAACCTTTCTAAGCACTTTGAGTCAGAATATCGAGATGACTACGAAGGATTCAGAGAGAAAGGAAACTTTTTTTTTTTAATTCCTGGAGTTGAGAATACCAGCAGAGGAGTCAGGCGTGTCCACAGCCAGCCAGAAGGAAGTGAGACCGACAATGTGCTGTGATAGGGTTCAGGGGCAGGAGCTCTGCTGAGGAGCTGGGGTGGGGGGTGGGGGGTGGGGGGCAGGGAGGGGGAGTGACATGGCGAGAGTCTGAGTTGGATCTTGGAGGTTCAGTGGGGAGATTGGCAAGTCAAAGAAGGGAGACGCGGGAATGTGTAGAGGGAATGTTATGAGCACGGAAAACGCATGGTGTATTCAGGGCATGGAGAGTCGTCTGCAGCCCTGGGCTGGAGGTGTCAGGCTGGGCCAATGGAGTTGGAAGGGTATGAAAGGGAGAGTGAGGTCGGAAGGGAAGTTTGGGGCCTGATTTGACCACCAAAACAGATCCTTTTTACAATATGTTTGGAATTCCTGGAGGTTTAAGTGGAAGTGCGTTGGGGGAAATGGTAAGAAATGTTAATTTTTATAGAGTAACCAGTTATGCCTGAGCCACTTCGGAGGATTGCTGGCCTGGAGTCGTGGAGCTGGCCCCATGCTGACATCTGCCCTCCATTAAGGAGAGCCCCCCAGCTCTAATTCTCACCGGACTGTTCTAGCCTCTCTCCTTCCACATCGGGAGGGTGGCCCGGGAGGCATCCTCCCTCCGAATGTGGCCTGAACCGAGGGGCCTGTGTTTTGCAGCTGGCGGAGCTGAGAGGGGTTCCCCGCGGCCTGTACGACGGGCCTGTGTGCGAGGTGTCCGTGACACCCAAGACAGTCACTCCCGCCTCGTCGGCCAAGACGTCTCCGGCCAAGCAGCAGGCCCCGCCTGTCCGGAACCTGCACCAGTCTGGATTCAGCTTGTCTGGTATGGCTATGGTTTGGGGAGGGCCCGATTCTGCAGGGGGCTGCTGAGTCTGGAATCCCTCCTGTAGAAGGAGAAGAGGCAGAAGGGAGTGGTATACCCATTTTTTTCCCTAAGTGGGACGTACTCCTATCACCAGAGATGTCACTCACAGCCAGTGGCCAGTCTCAGAGTCCTGACATCCGTTTGTATCCCATATAATGGCACTGTGTGCAATGCCCCGTACGTTAACAGGACATTTTTTTCTCTCTGTAGTATGGCCATCCTAGAAAAGGATGTAGTGGTATTTCAGGATTTCTCTTTCCCCCTAATGCGCAGTACAATTGACCCTTGGACAATGGGATTGAACGGTGCAGGTCCATTGCTATGTGGATTTTTTCCAATAAATACAATTGGCCCTTCACATCTGTGGATTCAACCAGATGTGGATCAAAAACAATATTTTTGCATTAGCAGGTTCCCACAGATACAAACCTAAAATAGTGTTTTTGGTCTATGTTAGGTTGAATCTACAGAGGCAAAGAACCCACTGTAATTAAGTTTCGAGGGAGTCAAAATTATACACAGAGTTTTGACTGCACAGGTGGTTGGCGCACCTGCCCCCTGCGTTGTTCAAGGTTCAACTGTATTTTGTGTAGTTCAGCTTATGGAGTGTCAGCAGCTTAACTTCGTAGTCCAGATGCTTGCTAGTTGTGCCTCGGTCTCCTCATCTATAGAATGGGTATAACAGCAGTAGTTACCTTATGGAGTTGTTGTGAGGATTAAATGAGTTAATGTGCATGCAAAGAGCTCAGAATAGAGCCATTTGAGAATTGTTAGCTATTTGCGTGAATAAAAATATGTGATATCAGGGATGATGAGAGGAAGGGGTCAAGATGTTAGAGCTTCTGCACTTGAAATTTCCTTCCAGTCCTTCATTTGGCCCATAACTAGAACCTTCCACTTTTCTAGCCCTCTGAACCACAAATATGTATCCAGATTTGTATGGTGTGTTAAACAGTTAATTAGATCTTTTTTGTGTGTGTCAGTTATACTGGTTTTAGAACATTGCTATATATGCCATATACAGATTACCCATTTTCAAAAGATTTAATAATAATGAACCTTAGTTTTGTCATGAATTAAAATGGGCATAATGGTGTTGTGCTTTCTTATGTCCCCAGGCCATTAATGTAAGGAACCATCATTCCCTTGCTTTTGATTAGACAGTGAGATGAGTAGTGTTAAGGGAACATAACGCCAGAGGGCTGTGCCTTAGAAAAGCTGCACTCAAACTGACTACAGAATAGGGGAGGATGTAAGAGGCAAAAAAAAGCCTGAAATGGAGTGTTATTTTATATCCTAGAGGCCCAATGCAGGAAGATTTGTGCAAGAATGGGCCTTCCTTCCCCTGGCTGCTGGGCACTGCCTTCGCGCTGGCCGAAGCCACCTTTCCACCTTCCCAGGCTTTCCAGGGGCCAGGAGTGGCTGGGGCAGTGCGGAAAGCCTGCATCATCGCCATGGTGACGATGCAAGCATCCCGCCTCACCCCTGGCCACTCAGTGCCTGCATATGCAAATTAACCCATCATGTTTGTTGGGTTAATTTGCATATTCACTCCTGATTGGCCGGTAGGCGTCACGAAGGTACAGTCAATTTGCATCTTACTCTTTTCTTAGTATAGATAGCTTTACTTTTTCAAGTGATGGATCCCACTGGCTTCTGCAGGTACTGCTTTATACTGTCTCAGTCTTTTGGCCACCTTAAGCCCATCACTTCTTTGTAGTTTAAATTTCCAGGGAGTTTGGAGGGGACAAAGAGTCCAGGCCTTTGAGCAGGAACTCCTGTAACTCTGCTTTTGACCCTCACCCCTCTTTCCTCTCCAGGTGCTCAGATTGACGACAACATCCCCCGTCGCACCACCCAGCGCATCGTGGCGCCCCCTGGTGGCCGTGCCAACATCACCAGCCTGGGCTAGAGTTCCCCGGGCCCATTCCACTGGGGGATAAGGGTTAGGGGATGGGATACCTGAGGACATTCTGAGACTTCCTTTCTTCCTTCCTTAATTTTTTTTTTTTTTTTAAGAGCCTGTGATAGTTACTGTGGGGCAGCCAGTTCACGGGGCTCCCTCTTGGGCCTCACACTCCGTCCCTCACCCGGAGTCACTGACTTTGCTCACCCACTTCTCTACACATCTACAAACATCACACCACGTCTACCCACTACCCCACACATGGGACTGCATCCAACACTCAGACATGCGAAACAGAGCAAATCACCATGATGTGTTTCTCATCTCCAACCTCTGTTATATTTATCCTCTTCCTTTTCATTGGGAGGGAAGATAAAGTGAATTGCCCAGAGCTGCCTTTTTCTTTTTAAATTAAAAAAAAAAAAATGTTTTCGTTATGGGGCTGGGAAGGAGTGGGTCAGGGAGGGGGGAGATTTTTTTTTTTAATACTAAATTAGAAAGCCTAATTCAATACTAATACAAGGGGTTTGAACTGGACATCCTAATGATGCAATTATGTAACCATCAAGCTGATTCAGGTGGCTGGCACACTCGGCGTGTCCCTCCTGAAAGATTCCAGAATGTCCACATCACCATTCCATAGTCTTCTGGGCTGACTGCTTTTAGGGCAGGTTTTGTTTTTGGCTTAGATTTTGCTGCAGATTACATATTTTCCTCAGTCTCTGTCTCTGTCTCTGTCTCTCTCTCTCTCTCTCTCTCTCTTCCTCTCTCTCTCTCTCTCCCTCTCTCTCGTCTATCTCTTTCTTTGTGTTTCCTCCCGCCCTCATCTCTGAGACACCCTTTTCTCTCCTTCCCCACTGCCTTTTCAAATGACCAGGTCTACCATTTCACTGTGGTCATAAAAACCTGCCTGGGAGGGTGTGAGCTTTGTCATCACAACCATAGTCAACTGCTGTCCTTGTCCCTGTAAGACTGGTGCTACCCACCCATCACCATGAGGATGTGCCGTGAGTCTGAGACACTCCCCAGGCGCAGGGGAGGGCCGAGGCACCCCCCACACCGTCATGCCTGAGTCCTAAAGAGACCCAGAAGCAGTGCCGAGATGTGGCAGAAGTCTGAGGCTGCAGGATGGGAGAGCATCCTTCGGACAGTGCTGGCTGGTGATGAGACATAATCAAATCTGTAAAGTGAGCCCCCAAACCCCAGTGAGCCAACCAGTCCTGTTGAGGTAGTGGGAGTGGCCCCAAGAGCCTGCTGTTTCCTGGCTAAGTATCTTTTGGGGTTCCTGGACACAATGGGGCTTCTCACTTTGGGGGAAAACCTTTGTTTTCTTGTCCCATTATTTCGAAAGACATCACGCAATACAGGGAGGCCTTTTAGACTCTGAGAATTTGGGGGGAAATTGGACATAAAGCCCGTTTTACTTTGCCAAGGGAAACATCTGTTTGATGAGTGCGATGTGACATCAGAGCCACTTATGGAGAAACTCACACCTCACACATGTGGCCCGTAGAGACCGACGGTGACCTGTGTCAGCACCTCCCCTCTGCTCCCCGTCTCAGTGGCCCTTCACTAGCTGCCTTCGTGCACACCCCTGTCTCCGCTGGTTTGTGTGGCATGTCCTTCCGAGTGTGTGTACCGGTTCTCCTCAGCGATGTCTGTCCGCAGGCTTTCCTAGAACCCAGCTGCTTTTGTGACGTTCAACACCACCACACAGGTCATCCCATCATTCCACTTGTCTCTACACCCATTTGCCTTCGGGGTTACGGTTGGGGGTTTCTTATGTTTTATTACTGTTGTTGTTTATTTGTTATTTGAAAAGGAAATTGCACTTTTAAAGAATAATTGGTTAACTTAATATATTTAATTTTTTTGTTTTTCTCACCTTCCCTTGGGAGAAATTGGAACCAGTTGGGGAAAAGTACTTTTTTTTGTTTCGATGCTAAGAAACACTCGCAGCTCTTCAAGTGTTCACTTGAGTCTTCTGTCTTTCCGGTACCAGGTCCTGGTCATTTGGGTTCTTTGGATTGTTTCCTGAAAACCGCTCGAAGCCTGGCGATTCCCGCAGGCTGTATAAGCATGTGTACCTGTCGGCTTGCCTTGTGTGTCTGTTAGATGAATGTCACGTGTAACTGCTAAGCTAACTTGACAGTGTCTCCGCTCTGAATAACAGCAGTGACTTGATGCTCTGAAACTGTAGGATTTCCTTATAGATGGTTCTTAACCCTTGGAATTGTGATTGTGACCCGTGAGGAGGAACGTTCAGTGCTAAAGCTCATCACCGTGTGTAGCCAGAAGAGTACCTTTTCTTCTTTGTAACCACTGTCTTAATGACAAAATAATTATGGTTCAAAAACAAATAAGTCTCGTGTTTATTATTCCTTAAGGACTCTGTGTTATATTACTATGGAACGCCTAATAAAGCAAAATGTGGTTGTTTCACGGCCGTGTCTGTGTTGAGATGTTCCAGAGGCAGGCGCCTGGCCTGGCCTTCCCACGCCACTGCCCTTCCCGAAGTGTTCCTGGGCCCTCTGATCCTGCTTTGGTGACGGTCCCGGGTCCAGAGCTGTCGCTGTATGTCCAGGCCACTGAGGCCTGGTTCCCAGCAAGAGCTCTGCATGGCAGAGCTGAGTGTCTGATTCATAGACTGTCCTGGGGAGGCCACCAGGGCCCCGGAATCCAGCTACTGACTTACCATAGGATGTGGGAGTGGCCGAGGCCATGTCGGATAGTGTGGGTGACCTCTGGGCTCTCCGGGACACCCTTGAGCTACACGGGAACATGGAAGAGGGGAGACTTAATGTATATTGATTTGCATCAGTCCAGGAGCTGCGGGAAACCCAGACATAAATCATTTGTTTTTGTTTTTTATTTTTAAATATACTTCATTGATTTTTTTACAGAGAGGAAGGGAGAGGGATAGAGAGAGTTAGAAACATCGGTGAGAGAGAAACATCGATCAGCTGCCTCCTGCACACCCCTCACTTGGAGATGTGCCTGCCTGCAACCAAGGTACATGTCCTTGACCAGAATTGAACCTGGGACCTTTCAGTCCACAGGCCGACGCTCTATCCACTGAGCCAAACCAGTTTCTGCTAAAACATTTGTTTTTCTGTCCCCAAACCAGTGCTGAGCGGGCCCGCCAAGGGTGTGAGCAGGCTGGTGCTCCTCCCCACAGCCCCCGCTAACTGGTCTTTGTGATTCTGAAACACGGAGTGAAGAGGGTGTGTGCTGGGGGCTCCCAGGCCATGGTAGGGCTGCTGACAGCCTTTTCTCTCCCTTTCTCTTTTTGTTTTCTATCCCCCTGTCCAAACAGGATATCAGGCAGTTTACTATACCAAGCTTTTATAAACAGTACTGAGCAAAGGGAAAATGAGAGCAGGGAAAATAAGATAAGGCCTGGGGTTAGCACAGCACGCCAGCCGCAAGGTTGGGAAATTGTGAGGGAGCTCGGAAAGTCCTAGCAACAAATCAAAGCGGAGACATGGCCAGAGGCGATATAACATTTAGTGACCAGAAGAGAAACATCCTTCAGAAGAAATAGAGACCCTGGTCCTCGCCCCGAGGACAAGTGTGGGGACCCCAGGAGCCAGTGTTGCGTGTCTAAGGCTGGCTCCATGGTGTGCCCACAACCCAGCACTGGGGTCCAGGAAATTCAAGTTTGTCCAAGAGCTGAGATGGGGGGCAGGGAGGGGCCATGAAGGCTGGCCCTGACCCTGTTGGGACTTGGGCCAAGAGTTAAAAATCCCAGGCTCACAGCTCATTCTCCTGGCCCCACTCTGGCTTCCTCCCACACTCAGGGCTCATGCTCTTGCCTGTGGACAACCCAGCTCACATCCCAAGTTTTCCCTGCCCCTAGCAGACACCCTGAGGCTGCCCGCAGCTGTGGGCTCTGCTCTGAAGGACAACCCAGCAGAGGCCAGAGTAGGCACGGGCTACACACAGGTTTGGGTCCATTTGAGCAGGGAATTCTGGGAGGATGGCCAAGAGGTGGGTGCTCTAAAGAGGGAGCCCCATGGGTGCCATGCGGCTAAACAGTGGGCCAGGCACATAACTATGATGTAATCCAAGGAGACTGAAGAGCAACTAGAAAAGGTAAGTGGAGGCAGATCCCAGGAGGTGTTTTCACCTTGCATTGCCCGGAGCTGGAATCACTTCCTCTGGCCAGATTCTGTAGCAGAGCCATTCCTTTCCCATCAACTAATGGGGATACTGATTACGTTCGTGTCTCTCAAAAAGCTTCTTATTGACTCTGCAATGTAGAGATGTGTTACCTTCTCAGTCTAACTCCCCGCTGAGGCCCACATCGGGAAGGGCAAGCCAAAAATCGGACATGAGGCCAAGCAGAGGATTGGGAAGGAATGACAGGGAGCTGCTGGGAACAGTGTCTTCAGTGTCTCTTTCTAAAATAGAAATAGATAGTTGACTGCAGAGATCCTAAGACTATGAGACATCAGAGATGATGTCGACTGTTACTAATTAAAACAACCCGTTAAAGGCACATGGCCAATAGCTGACATTTGTTATTACATGCCAGGGACCCCTTTAAGGGCATTTCGCATGTGAACTCAGTGAATCTCGGCAACAACCCAGCATAATTGTTGCCACCGTACAGGTGAGACAGAGGCACAGCGTTAACAACTTGCTCAGAAAAGGCTTTGAAACCAATCAGCCGGGGTCTGGAGGCCATGTTTTTGATCACTATTATTCTACCATCGATGGGAAAGCTCCCCTTAGAAGGGTGTGGGGGAAAGAGAGGCGGAAAGTGCCAGAGGGTAAGGCTGTACAGGTAGTTAGGCAGACCCAGGAGCAGAACTGTGGACAGATGAGCTTTGCAGAAAAGAAGACATGATCTCATGAAGCCGACTCGAAGTAGGAGCTACATGGGCTCGAGGTAAAAAGAAACGAGAGAGCTATAGAACACACAGCCAGGAGACACATGGGTTCAGAGAAGGGCGAAAGCTGCAAAGGAAAACAATAACAATAGTTTGAGTACATGAAGTTTC